TTTAAAATATTTCTGTGCCTCAGCTTCCTCATCTACAAAAGAGGAATAATCATACCAACCCCACAGGGTTGCTGTGGGATTAAGTGAGTTAATAAATTTAAAGTGCTTAGAACAATGCTGGTGTATAGTAAGTACAAATACATGTTAGCTCTTGTTGCATTATTTATAAGATTGGCTGCTGCCTACCACTTCTACCTTGTATGGAGCCATTCTCTCTTCATACCCTGCTCCAGCACACAGACCTTTTCCCTGTTCCTCTTTCCTGCCCTGGGGTTTTTGTACATCTGGGGGTGTTTCCTCTGCCTAGAACGGTCTGCCTGTGGCTCTGGAATGCTGGCTTTCCAGTCTCAGTGTGATTGGTGCCTTGTCAGGCGGGACCTCCTGATCCCTCCTTACAATATGGTGTTAGGTAATGTCACAACACTTTTCTCCAGTTTGAAATTAGATACATATGTTTCTGTACCCATTACCGCCTGACTGCCTGATGCCACAGGGCCAGCTTTTTGAGAGTAGGGAAGATGTCCATTTTGCTCATCGTTGTAAATCCAGTGCCTGGCATAGGGCCTGGCATACACATATTTGTGGTGAATAAATACATTTTCTTTGTCAGTACTCTACCTCACTCCTCATTCTGATACACCTTGCCTGTCAGCTCACATAAGCATTTTTATAGGGGTGAAGAGTTCGAAATGAACTTAAGTCTAAAAATTCATAAAAAATCAAAATGTAGCCTTAAGATGTGGGTGAACTAAAGGTGGGAAGAGACTATTCTCTGAGGATAATGGGGGCATTTGTAGGCTAGTAGAGTATGGGGACTCATGGGTGTATATGTGTCTGTGTCTGTGTCTGTGTGTGTGTTTTATATCAGCTGGCAAAGCTGCTCATCTCAACCCATGCCAACTGCCCACTGGATTCTACACATTCTGGTAAAATAAAGTGTTTTATCTTTGTTGGCTCAATTGGGACCAGTTGGAGTTCTTTGCCCTATAGTGCAAGCCCCTGTGCGTGTGCAGTGATTCCAGCAGAGGACCGGTTTGGTGAGGACCCAACAATGCTGGAGAATGTCAGATACAGGAAACCATTGCAGTGGGAACCCTCAGGCTGCAAGAACAGCAAGACGGCCGCTGGGTACCTCTCCTGTGGGGCTTTTCGAAGCAGAAGGCTTTGAGAGTGCGTGGGAAAGGGCACTGAAGAGGAATTTCACAGTCCTTATAACCTCTCCACCGTGACCCCACCAAAGGAGAAAACTTGGTAAAAGTTTTGTTCCCCCTCTCCCTCTTTCTAGAGGAAGATATTTTATGAGATTTGTGGAGTAAGGTATTTAAATGTCTGTGCAATGTCTGGTTTTGTGCTTTTATTTCTCATGGTGAGCTGACTTCTGACAATATTTTGGAAGAGGATGGAAGCAAGACAAAACAAAATACGCATTGTCCCCTATGTGCTTTAGCTGTCAGGCATCAAATGTCCCAGAACAAAGCAACCAATTCAGCCCTGCTTCCTCCGACTTGCTTCTCACAGTGACACAGGCATGGGTCACAATTTCCCCTCTGCAGCTTCCCTGTGTACTCCTAGGGAAGTCCCAAGAGACACACCCAATTGCCAGGCCCCACAGACCGTGGTGGCTCATTAGGGGCTTGGCATGGCCTGCAATGTAAAATGTCTAATGAGACATTCCAGAGCTGCTGAGAGGGAGAGATTCTCCCCTGAGCTCTCTAAATAGCTTCTGAGGCTTTATGAACAAAAGCTCTACAGAGTCTCTGGCTGGCAACTGCTGTGGCTAATTTTATTTTCATCAGGCAAGGCCCAAGGCGGGGACGCCTGAAAGAGATTCTGAAAGGAGTATTTCTCGTTTTTCCTTCAGCAGTTAGTAACAAACCAAATTTTGAAATGTCTCCAACTAGACTTTTTGGAAGGAAGAGAAGAGAGAAAGAAATATATGAAGCATAAACTGACCTCCAAGTAGCTGATCCATACTAAAAGTACTTTAGCTGCACACAAGCTGCAGGAAAGAAAACTAACTCCAGAAAATAAGCTCTGACAGTGGGTAAGGCACTGTGGGAGTCATTTTGTACATACTGCATCTTATCAAATTTTTATAGCAGTAAAGTAGGGAGTATTTTTACTCCCCTTATAGGAAACTGTGGCTCAGTGAGCTCACCTCACTTCCCCAGATCACCCAGCTAATAAGTAGAGAACATAGGATTCAAACCCTGGTCTATCTCATCCTAAAGTCCATGCTCTTCTTAGATTTTGCTGTTTCTGGGGCACCTGGATGGCTCAGTCAGTAAGGGCATGAGACTCTTGATCTTGGGGTGTAAGTTTGAGCCCCATGTTGGGTGTAGAGATTACTTAAAAATAAAAATCTTATGGGTGCCTGGGTGGCTCAGTTGGTTGAGTGTCTGCCTCTCGGTTTCACTCATGTCATGATCTCACAGTTCGTGTCGTCAA